GGCAGGGGGTGGGGGCACAACGAGCCCTTAGCCAGCGTCAGCACCAGCCTGGGTCCCCCCTGCGGGCAGGGGTCTCCAGGCTGGAAAAGGGGCAAAACAGGGATTAGGAAAAGTGGAGGGTTAGGGTGAGGGCTAGGGTTAGGAATGAGGGTCTGAGGGATGAGAGGGAGTAGGAATTAGGGGAAAACAAAAAGGGGTAAAGTCCGTTGTGAAGGGAAAACAGGGGAGTAAAAGTGGGGTAAAAAAAGGCATTAGGAATAAAAGGGGCTGAAAGAGGAAATGGGGGTAAACAATAGGCATTAAGGGAAAAAGGGAGGGAAAAGCCAGCCAGAAGGACAAATGGGAGGCAAAGGAAGGGTGCAGCTCCCCAGCCCAGCCCCACTCACCGCGCCTGGGGCCAGGGACTTAGCAGGGGCCGGGGGTCCCATAGGGTTCCGGAATTGCTCCTGCTGCTGCCGGGTGTAGCGCCGCCCCCAGGCCCAGACTGGGGGGAAGGTGCAGGTGCGGGGGCCTCCCCTGTGCCCCCCAGGATCCTGCCAGCCCCCCACAGGCCAGTAGGTCTGGCTGGGGAGCTGGGGCTGCGGGACAAGAGTTGGGAGGTCAGTCCCCCATTTGGGATGGGGAAACTGAAGCAGAGCAGGGAAAAGAAGGGGTGAAATGGGAGATCCCAGTTTGGAATGGGGATGGAGAAACTGAGACAGAGTGAGGAGAAGGGGTGAAATGGGAGGGTTTGGGGATGCAGCAATGTGCCCCTGCCCCTCACCATGCTGCTGCGGCCCCGCTGGCGCTGGCAGCTGAAGCGGAAAGTGCTGAAGTAGGGGCTGAAGCTGCTGTCGTGGAGCGCCAGGAGAAAAGCCTCAGTGAAGCCAAAATCTGCCGGGAATTGCCACAGGAGCTGCCACGTGCAGTCCAGGAACAGCAGGAACACGGGGGCCTGGGGGTGATATGGGATGGGGTGGGCTCACCTCCTCCCAGGCAGAGTCCCAACTCCTGTCACCCCAGTGGGACAGGAATGGGGGGTCTCACCTCCTCCCGAGGAGAGTCCCGGCAGAGCAGCCCCAGGCGGCGCGGGAAGGGGTGTCCAGCTGCCACCCACTCCCGCTGCACCAGGCTCTGGAAGCCAGGCAGGGAGCGGGCATGGGGGTCCCCCAGGAGCTGCACCAGAGAGGCCAGGAGGCAGTTCAGGTCCCGATCCGAGGGCTCTGGGAGGGCAAGGTGGGGTGAGGGGAGGATCCCCTTTCCAGCCTCCTCCAGTCTTTTCCATCCCCCATCCTGGTGCTCCCACCTTGCAGGACCACAGAGCAGCGCTTCCCTGCCAGCAGCAACACCAACTCCACAGCTTTTCTCAGGCAGGTGCTGGGGGGCAAAAGCAGGGGTTCAGGGCACCCCAAAATGACACAGTCACCTGTTCCGGTGGCTCCTGCACCCACCACAATGCCCACATCACCCCACAGTGCCAGCTGGCCTGGAGGGCTCGTTCCACCATGGGATTTGCGGTGAATTTCCTTCCTACACCCCAAAATACCTCCCTACACCCCAAAGAGCCCCCGTGTCCCCTGCTCACCGGACATGGTCCAGCCAGCGTGTCCCCTCCAGGGCTGAGAGCCACTTCTCCTCTGCCACCGCACCTGGATCCCATGGGATGGGGTTTCAGTGGAGGGGAAGGCCCCTGGGTGGTCAGGGGGTCCCCAGGGCCTGCCCGGTGCCACTTACCAGGCAGGCAGAGTGCCCGCAGCCTCAGGTGAGCGAGCTGGATGTCAGCGAGCGTGGGCAGCTCGGCCGTGTCGGCCAAAATGCAGGGCCCACGGTCCCCCAGGAGCAGCGCTTCCAGGCACCTGGGGGGCACAGGGAGCCCCAGCTGGGGCCAGGCCAGGGGTACACCTCAGCCCCCCCAGGCCCCCTGGGACCCACCTCATGTCCTCGCTGCCTGGCTCTGAGGCTGGGTGAAAGCTGGCGGCTCTCAGCAGGTCCCCCCCACCCGGGTGGTGCCAGCACAGGCGCTGCAAGAGAAAGGGGGTGACGCCCCAACATCCCCCTGCCAGTGCCCCCTACCCCGCCAGGGCCTGTCCAGGCACTCACAGGCACCCGTCGCTCCTGGAAGTGGACAAAAGTTTGCTTGAGGTCGTGGTCCAGAAGCCCACTGGGCACCCACAGGTACTGGGGGAGGCTGTGGGAATGTGGGACACAGGGTGGAGTCCCCCAAATCACAGGTGCCATTTCCAGTGGCTCAGATAGTGTTGGGGGACTGACAGGCTGTACCTGGGGGCCATGTCGAAGCGCTCATTGATGGTGCTCACCCTCCAGCCCGCAGTGCCGAGACGCTGCAGCTCCTTCTCCCAGTCCCACAGGCTCTCGAAGAGCAGCATGGTGGACGAGCCTTCCTCCTCATCCTCCTCGTCCTCGTCCTCCTCCGGGGGGGCTTCGCCAGGGCAGGACCAGCCATCGTGTCCCTCAGCAGCGTCCCCCTCCCACTCAGCTGCCTCCCGTGCCTGTGCGATGGCATTGGCCACCTGCGAGGACAGCCAGGGGTGGGGTGTGAGCCCCCCAGGCTTCCCCGGAACCGTGGGGTACCCCTGAGTGAGGGTACAACACTTCTACACCTCCCTGGCTCACCCGGAATGCCTGCGGAGCCAACCCGTTCTCGGGGAAGTAGAAATGGAGCAGGCGGAAATCCCGACAGAAGACGGCGAGTTCCTCGGGGATGAATTTGAGGGTGGAGGCGGCCGTCAGCACCTTGGGCTTGGAGAAGCTGCTGGCTGGGGTCAGGGGCATGAGGCTGTCGGGGCCAGCCGAGACCTGCCCAACTCATTACATGGGGCTGAGCCCCGAGACCTGCCCAGCTCATCCCTTGTACCCCCGGATGTCCCCATTACCTGCCACCAGCTTGTGGATGCAGGGCAGGGCCACCTCGTCCTCAGAGCGGAGGAGGCCACGGGAGCCAGGAGCCTGTGGGAGAGTGGGGAGGGCTGGAAACTGCCCCAGAGTGTCCCCCCAGTCCCAGGAAGGGTGATGGGGATGGATCTGGACCTGGCTGTCCCATGTCCCTTGTCCCCCACTAAGTCCTGCAGTAAGGAGTTCCCAGGGTGAAGACGGCGTGTTCTGCAGTCAACGAGCCAGGATGGGCTGGGCGGGAGCTGGGATGGGAGTCAGGGATGCGGTGGGGTGGGGCTGAGCCAAGGGTCGGGGTACGGTGGGATGGATTCGGAATGGGATCGGGATGCGGTGGGATGGAGTCCCGCCGGGGCAGGGGTCCCCCCGGGCAGGAGACGCGGGGCCCCGCCGTCCCGTTCCTGATCCCGCTCCCGCTATTCCCGGCGTTCCTGGTGTTCCTGTCGCACCTGGCCGGGCAGGAAGGCGAGGCGGCGGTTGGTGCAGAGCAGTGTCCCCGGGACGGAG